TGGAGAAAATGTTCCTATCGTTCTATACGAAGTTGCAGCATACGTAAGAAGCTTACTTTAGTAAGCTTTTTCTTTTCTTTTCTTTTTTTTTTTTTTGAAATAAAAAAAGGACGAAATATCAAAATGCAACGTTCAAAGGAAGAAACGTAGAGAAAAAAGAAAGATAAGTGTAATTTTGATTTGCGAAATTTGACGCATAATAAAATACGTTAATGACATTTAACAAAACGGAAATGATGAAATTATTATTTGGGCTATCGATTTTAACGAAAACGTTCAGTTTATTTGGGGGATGAATTCGTATTCTCCTTATCGAATTCCTATGGGGGTATTATTAGTTTCACGAATATGTATTTATATGTGTGCGAAAGTATTCGAATGATCTTCCCTCAAAATGGAGATACGTTCCACTTGACATATTTCAGAACGCATAACTTTGATATATATATATGGAAAAGAAAAAATACAAAAAATAAAAGAAGGAAGGAACTAAGAGAAAAAGAAAGAGATTATGTTCGGGGACAAGAATTCGAAATGTTTAAAACAAACTTTTCTCTTAAAAGTGGTGGTGGGTGGGGTAGCCACCACCGTTAACACTTCGAAGTTTAATGACTCGTTTCCCGATTGGCGAATAGCCAAAACTAAATAATGAATATATATTTGATGAACACATTTTCACACACACATATACACAAATAAATATACAGTATTCTCTTAGTTGCCTAATATTTTGATCGTAACCAATTATTATTTCATTTATGTTTAGAGATCAAAAATTAAACTAACTACATTATCATAGAGTTTTTTTCACGAGAAAATAACTTTGACATCATAGATCATACGCATTACATTATACGAAGAATCGATATTAGTGTATGAAGGTATAAAAAAAAAAATAACATACCTTCCTTAAGGAATAATATCGTACCTTGTTAAAAAATTTCATTGACTAGTAATAAATTCTTATTTTTAATTAAATCAAACGTAAATTTGAATATGAAATGACATTCGATTGAATCACAGATGATTCATTTTTTCCATCCTTTTTTTCTTTTTCTTATCTCCAGCATAACTTTTCATGGTTTTCTAACACGACATTTTAAACGCGTCACAAATAACATTTTAATATTCTTTCTCTAGTTATCGTAAACCTATGATTCGTGACCTATCCTCCTAGTTTGAACAGATCATTATGGTTTATCCAGGTATATAGGACGGTTTGGTCTCTATCGATTCTTGATTTGCGAGAATTACAATATCGATTGTTGCCGTTCACACCTCCCCTGATAACAAATTTCCTTTAAACGGATATTGCATTTTTCTTATTGAGGAACATTGGGTGGGTGGGTACGTTCTTTTTATCGAGAAGCCCCGCTCGCTTTATTTCCTCCTTTTCTTCGTTTCTCTTTCTATCTTTTATCTCTTTCTATTTTATCCCCCTCCCAACCACCACCACCACCAACACCATTGAGAACATTTTTTGTATTTTTTTCCTAGCTAGACACGTTTCAGAAAGGAAATTGCATCCGTCTATCGCGGAATTCGATATTCGGAATTCGAATTCGTTATCTGTCCGAAAGGTATGCGTCCGATTCATTCATAGTACTTTTAATGTAATGCTGATGCAGTTTTAATGACATTCGCTAAGAATTTCTTTTATTTTATTTGAATTTTTTAGTCAATGTATTATAAAGAAAATAATATTAATTCGATTGAAACCTTTACGAAATCGTATTGCATTTCTACAATGGTTGAACAAACAAACAAACAAATATATATATATATATTTATTTGTTATATATTATAATATATATTATTTAATATAATGATATATAATAATGACGGTCCTTGCATCGTAAAGGGTTAAATATTTTGTTATAAAATAGAAATGAGAAATAGTTCCACTGTATATATTTTTTTACGTATACAAAATGTATTTTTTTATTTAGAAAAAAATAATATTCTTTTGTTTTGTCTGTAATAAAGTAACATTTAAAAAAAAGGCCGATTTGTCAGCGTCGATCGATTCTCGTCGTTAAATAAAAGTCAAAGTTTGGTATGGGGGAAATGGGTTTAGTTAGGGGAGCAACCTACCACCATACCTCTTTTCCATACCAGGGTTATTTGGCCGTTCTCCAATTTGTGGATTCCGGTATTCGCGCAAATGCACACGTTTCTGCGAACGTTAACGTGCTTCTTTCCTTTTCCAACCAATTAAAAAGAAATCTTTCTGTTTTTTTCTTTTTGTTTCTTTTTTATTTCCTTTTCTTTTTCTATATTATGATCTCGCTCATTTAAAAACCGAATAAATTAATGAATGAAAATTCGCGGCTTTGTGCATTAGTTTATTTTATTATTTCTCACAACTTCTTGTTCTTTTTTTACCAAACACATCATTGCAATTATTTTCGTTCGCGTATTAAATTTCTCTTTCGTATTTATTTCTCTATTATTCATTTACAATTGGACATTGAATAAAACAATAAAACATTTATTTAAAAACAAATACATGCACATTTTATGTATATTTCTTTTTTTTTTTATTTTAGTAATTTTGTATAAATTCCAGGACACGATCATTTGATTTAACGTGATAAGTTTAGTGTTAAAAAGATAAGTTTGAAATTTAAAATCGGTCATCGAAAAGAGATTTTTTCGGGTATATTTTGAGAGATAGGACATAATGTATCTATCATTCCCGATGACCTTCGCAATCTCTCTCTAGAGAACGATAGAGACTTTTGTAGGTGGTTACCGTTTGAAGATTGATCGAACTGCCGTTATCTCGCGTTGAATCTTTTGGAAAATATATCGCATCCCAATATTTGCTCGTGATGTCTCTTTAAAGTTTAGAAATGCGTACATCGTTATTATTTTTCTCTTTCTAGATAGTTAGATTTCTTTTTGTGCAATTTTGTTATTTATAAACGAAATTTTTTTTCATCCCTTTGAAAAAGAAAAATTT